TTCTGTCCAAACTCAACCCTTTCACATTTTCGACATCTACATGTCGATTTTGGATGAATTTTCGACATCAACCTGTCGAAAATCCATCGAAAATCGACATGTACAGGTCGAAAATGGTGAACCAAGAACCGACCCACGAATCTCAAATCAATGCTCAAATCGACTGAAATCAGATGCACCCATTACTAATTAACGATCATTCTAACCTAAAACAACCAAATCCTAATTACCCATATCAAACATTCAAATCTTAAATAAATATTAAAGAAAAAAAAAATCGAAACAACTATAACTTACTATTCGAAGACGACGACGGCGGCTTCGGGCGACGTTGGGCGGCGTGGGCGGCGTTCGGCGGTGTTTGGCGTCGGCGTCCGGCGGCGGCGATGGTTGGAGCGGCGGCGGCGGCGTCGGGCGGCGTGGACGGAGGGAGGTGGACGGAAGGAGTTTTTTGTGTTTGATTTTTTTTTTTCTTTTTTTTTATTTGGTTTTCAAATAGGTAATTTCAAAGAAAAATTGATGTAATTAGTATTTTGTATGAAAGGGTATTTTTGTACTTTTATTTTTATTTTGGTATTAAAGTAAGAAAAAACTTAAAAATATGTACTCAATTGTGGTTTTCAACTAGATAGTATTCAACTAAGCAAAAATTAGTATTCAAAATAGGTGCCCCATTTTATAATACAAGTGAAAGTAAAATGAAATTTTTGAATCCTCTCAATTTCGATTTAAAAAAAAATTCTGATGAAATGAAACTAATTTAATTTGTTGATTACAATTTTTGAAATTCAGTTTTTTTTTTTTCTTACATGGAGTTAATTAAGTTAGTTTTTTCACTTTTAACTCCATATTGAAGTTGCTCTTAGAACATCTCCGGTGGAGATGTATCAAATTGAAGCATTAAATACTCAATTGAGGTAACAAAAAATTATTTACTCCAACCAGCATCAAATATTTAATCAAATTTTAAATATATAAATAACTATATATTAAATGCCATATTCAATTAATGATAGGTTAATCGGGTGATTATATTTTTAATACCTACGTTGAAGTTGCTCCCACACAACTCTACCAAAGACGTCTCACCAAATCTTCAAAACAAAATCAATAAATAAAATATTTAATTTAATTCCTCGATTTGATTAATAATAATATTCCCAATTATAAATAAATAAAAAATAAATTCAGTTGATTTATTTATCCCCTGAATTAAATATAACCACATTCGGCCCCTCTCCACTACAAAATTCTTCGTCGGTCGTCCTAAAAAACTCCACTAATACAGCGCACCTCCCAACCACCACCACCACCACCACCACCGCCGGTCCACCACCACCGGTCCACCACCACATTTTCTCGCTAAGATATATATATATATATATATAGATTTTAAAACTCTAAACAAATCCTTTGGAGAGGTTTTACTTTACTCTCCAAAGAATTCCCCCAAATCAATTTTCCGATGTGTTTCCGCTGAATCTGGACCGTCGAATTCCACAGCACCACCACCACCACATTTTCCCTCTTCTACAGATCCGTTCACAATTCCCCTCAATCCAACCCCAACAATTCGTCGATCGATTGAAATCAATTTCGAATGTCGGCGATGAAATCCAGCGGGCGATTGTTCACGATCGGGCTGGTGGCGTCGTGGTATTCATCGAACATTGGGGTATTGCTGCTGAACAAGTATCTGCTGAGCAATTACGGGTTCAAGTACCCGATTTTCCTGACGATGTGCCATATGATGGCCTGCTCTCTGCTCAGCTACATCGCAATCGCTTGGTTGAAGATGGTCCCGATGCAGACCATAAGATCTAGGGTTCAGTTCATGAAGATTTCCGCACTCAGCTTGATCTTCTGCGCTTCCGTTGTCAGCGGCAATATTTCACTGAAGTACTTGCCTGTCAGCTTTAATCAGGCGATTGGCGCCACCACACCTTTCTTCACTGCTGTTTTTGCTTATTTCATGACCTTGAAGAAAGAGGCTTGGCTTACTTACATGACTCTCATACCCGTTGTTACCGGCGTTATCATTGCTAGTGGGGTATGTCTCTTCTTCTTCTTGTTTTTTTTTTATTTTTATTGTTTGAATTTAATTTGATCTGGAGTGTTTTTATTTGATATGAATCTATGTGTAGAGCGCTAGAGCTTAATTGATGGGGTGATGGGTACTACTGGGAAATTCAGTTATTGGTGGTACTGGTAATAGCAAGTTGTAAAGACATAGGCCTCGTTTGGTTGGGGAGATTAGCTATGATTAACTAAATAATTGAACTTTGTTTGATGTTTGATATCCCCAATAACTTGTCGGGTCGACTCGCAAATATTATGTTATCGTGGTTTATCTTGCTTTTGAGGGAGCTTTTTTGTTGGACGTCACGGGGTCCGATAAAATAATTGGGTTCTTATTAGATTATTTGATCTTATTTTGGCTAATTTTATCTTGGCAACCAAACGGGGCCTTATTAGGCAGATTTAAGATCTGTGCATGTGTTTGTGGATTGTGCACTCAACGTAAATTTTTTCATATTAGTGGAGATTGGTTTGTGAGGGATTGAATTAGGATTGACTGTGTTTTCTGTAACTGCGTTATGAGAATGGAAGTTGTATTTTAAGTAAAAAGGTGATTGATTATTGCAACATAGTTCTTGATTGTGATATGCACGGAGTAGCTGAGTATTTGTTTTGGAATGTTCCAGGAAATTAAATGTTAAATTCTGATATTCACCCTCTCTGATTGGTGAAGGGTGAGCCCAGTTTCCATTTGTTTGGATTTCTCATGTGTATCGGCGCAACTGCTGCTAGGGCACTCAAATCTGTCCTTCAGGGTATTTTGCTTTCTTCCGAAGGGTAATAATTTATATTTATTTTTATTTTTTAATAAAACACTCTGGCAGGGAGTTCTTTCGTAAAATCATCGCAAGTAGATCCTAAAAAAACAATTTTTTTTTATTTTTTTTGTGTGTTGAAGGGAGAAACTGAATTCAATGAATCTGCTGCTATACATGGCTCCTATTGCTGTAGTTGTCCTACTTCCAGCGACACTCTTTATGGAAGAAAATGTCGTCGGTATCACTTTGGCCTTAGCAAGAGAAGATATCAGAATTATCTGGTTACTGCTTTTCAATTCCGCCCTTGCGTATTTCGTTAATTTGACCAACTTCTTGGTCACCAAGCACACCAGTGCTTTAACTCTTCAGGTATAGCTCTACTCCATTTTAAATTTTTCGAAAAAACTGCTGTTGTTAATTAATATGGTCCCAGAATATCTTGTTGGCTCGAACTATAGTAATTTGCACATGATAACGTGTGTAAGATATGCAGGCAGATAATCTTATGTTTATTCCTTTGAGCTGAGAAATGTATGCATCATCATCACATCTACAAATAGATTCCTGCAGAAAACATTGATTGATGCACATTTCGTTTGTAGCCTGAATATGCATTAATTCTTGTTAGTTTGACCAAATTATATGTGCTCTATGTTGTCATGTTTTGTGTGAATGATAAAATGTAAATGGTGCAATATGACAATTAATTCGTTGGTGTGTTAATTAAGACTTTTACGGGATTTGTTACAGGTGCTTGGAAATGCAAAAGGGGCAGTAGCAGTAGTAATATCAATATTGATATTTAGGAACCCCGTTTCTGTGACTGGAATGCTCGGTTATACTCTCACCGTATTCGGTGTAATCCTCTACAGTGAAGCCAAGAAACGCACTACTTCTAAATAATCAAATCCAACCACTCAACATCATCATCATCATCATCATCTGTGTATTTGATATATTCTATTTTCGGCCCAGAAGCAAAGCGAAGCGGCCTACAGAGGCTTTTGAACCAATATTAGCTGAGTCACCACAAGTTCTATTAACTTTTTTTAGTTTGGAGTCACCAAAGAAACATCTTTTTTACCATTATATTATATATATATATATATTCTTTCAGCAAGGCTCAATCTGCCCTATACTTCATCTTGTTACCATATATGCTTTTCTTTTCTTTTTTAATTTTTAAATGATTAGTGAATTTTTTTTCACAATTCTATCAATTTGTAGCTATCTTTGATTAGTGGTTAAATGGTATATGGTTTTCTCCTTAACATATTGGTTATGTTCAAATTGTCTGTGCCCATTGGCATCTGCACTACTCTTTACATATTTGATTTGTTTTTTCTTCTGTTGACTGAACTTTAAAAGCCCTTTTAGCAAATTAATTATTTCTTAAATCCACTTCATTCTATCAAATCAAAATGCAGAGTTTGCTGTTTTTGAACAATTCTTTAAATCCAAACGCATCGTCCTAAAGTATTTTTGAACAATTCTTTCAATTCTTTTTAATTGAATTTAATTATTTTTAAAAATTTCAACCATGTTCAGAAAAAATAAAGACTTTTATAAGCTTAAATATGCAAACATAATTGATACTGATTTCAATAAACATAGTGGTTGATAACTTGAGTATATAAACATTGTCAGAGATTATTTAACAACATCCATAAGATTCAAAATCAATGGCACATTGACCCAATTAACCGACTCGTTGACCTTTTATAATTTTTTTTTTTTTCCAAATATCAAAATCAAACAATTCAAAAAATTACATGTAAACTTTGCATGGCATATATAACAACATTTCTACATACAAATTATAAAATACAAAATGCATCTGATCCTTCCCCATTCGGAAAAACTAGTCTGTTTCTTAACTCTAAGTTCATAGCACAATTGCCTTTTCACCCTCATCAAGATTCAACAAGAAATTACCCATGGCAACACCAAACTCCATTATAACAGTATCAAAAAAAAAAAAAATATTAAATAAATAAAAAGCTAATCTAGCAACAGTGCATTCATATAATTCACCAAATGATCGATGCCCGAATTAACGTTTTATTTAAGAAAAAAAAAACCTTCAAATCCCCTGGTTCTAAGATTTATGGCAATTCAAACAAGAATACTAAGAGCGTAACAAGTAAACGACGACTATCTGAACAAGAAATATAAATGCTTTCGAGCGAGCTTCATAATCATGCGGCAAACTTCCCTTCATAATTTTGAATAACTAACTTCATTTTTCATCTGATATAATGCAGAGCACCGCGCTTATGATAAAAAAAAACAACACTGCAGCATGCATCTTTAAATACTATATCCTTTCCTGCTTTAAGTTCACGAGATTTTGGAATGCACTGATGATGAAATAGTACAAAATACGACCGAAAATGATTTATAGTTGAGAATTTGAAATAAGTCGATTCTGAAACACACTGTACTGATTTGAAAGATTGTTCCAAATAGGTACCAAACTGTTCGAAATTTCATGGTAAATGAGGCAAGAAGATACAACCGATAGGAAAACTACTGTATTCTATGTTCATAGCACAGTTGTGACTTTAATTTTCCATCCCCATCAAGATCCAAGACAGCTAATAAAGCAGAATCTTACGAAAGCTAATCTAGCATCCATACAATCAAACACTTAATATTTTGTTCCAACAAAAAATTTCAATTGCATAAACGGATCATTGTGACATCTATTCCAACAAAGCAGATCACAGCACAATTTTTGCCTTTATAACATCAGTAACAAGATTTCTATTTCAGCTGTTCGCCAAGATTACAAACACTCCAAACCAACACAATGTAACCTGTGCATATTATCATTCCCAATTCAGCAAAATGACCGAACATCCAATTTTTTCGTACTAAAGAAACAGCAGAACACTCACCAGAAAAGCAACAGCCATCTGCACCGAACTTACTCCATTTCCGTTAGGCGAACCAGAGAAATCAACATTGTACTTCATAGTCATGTTGGGATACATAATCCCCCAATGCTGCCCTGCCTCTGCACCTCCAATCATTTCAGCAGCTGCAGCAGTTGTTGCATTCCTGCCATTGTTGTAGCTCGAATCAACCTCATCGAACAGCTGGTATATGTATGCCTCGGCCACACCTTCTTTCCTCAATGGTGTACCCAAACCAGATCTCAAGTGTTTAATCAGCCCCTTTAAGTACATCTCTGCATAATTTCCGGCCGCCCGAGCCTCGTATTCGCTCGGCCACCCTGTCTCCGCCACAATTACTGGAATACTCTCGTGACCGGAGACTGTCATGGCTGCTACGACAGCGTCAACCATCATGTCGAACAGATTCCGGTACCGAACTCCGGTGATTAAATCGTCTCGGAAATTAAACGGATGCTCCTGGAACAGGACGAAGCCGATCGGAATTTCCGAGTTGATTCGGTACATGTTGTAAGGGTAGAGATTGACCAGTAGCGACGAGTTGGTTTCCTCCAGAAATTGGAGCAGCGGACGGAGGATCAAATTACCGATCGGCTCCTGGAATTCAGCGGCGGAGGGAGGAAACGACGTCGTCATAATGTCGATGAAGGAGAAGGTGGTGGAGACCGGTATGGTGCGAATTCCAAGGTCCAGGAGGGAGAGTCGGAGGTTGCGCATGGCGGCGAGGAGGACGGTGGAGGGATCGAGGTCGGGATTGGAGGTGGCGGCAGAAGTGATGACGTCGGAGCCGGCGGAGATGAGTGAAATGTGTGCGCGAGGGTGGTAGGGAAGGACATTGGTGTAGAGCCAGACGGAGGCGGCGGAGCGATTGGCGGCGAAGGAGGGGATGAGGTCGTTGGGGACGGAGAGGAGGAGCGTTATGTTGGTGTACGCGAATGCGCGCACGGCGGCGGGGGTGGGTTCGAGGAGGCGGACGGCGGAGATTCCGCGGGACTGGAGAGTAGATACGACGTGCTCCGGCGGTGGAAGTTTCGGAGAGGATGCGTTGTAGGTGACGCCGATGGTGGTGGCGGAGGCGGCGGAGACCAGGAGGAGGAGGAGGAGATTGGCGGTGTGAAGAAGGAGAGAAGGCATCATTCCTTAGAGAGAGAGAGAGAGAGAGAGAGAGAGAGAGAGAGAGAGAGTTAGAGAGAGAAATATCCGTCCAAGTGTGTGTGTGTTATGGGTTTATGGCGGGGTTTTTTTGTAGTGTGTGTTGTGACTTGTGAGTGCGTGGTTTTTGACGCCGCCGAACGGCAAATTCAGTTACAGAGACGAGAAAGATACGCTGTGTGCTTGTGCAGGGGGCGTATGGTGAGGCGCTACTGAGAAGGTGCCAGCTCAGCACTCGTATTTTTTTTTTTACGATTCTTTCCAAATAAAATGTATATTTAGCTATTTCTCGACAGCACAATTCGGTTTCGAACAGGCCGATGTTTTCTCAATCCCTAAAATCCCCAAATTGAATGGTGAGCCTGCTGCTTCTTCTCGATCCCTTCGTTTACTTCTTTTCAATTTAATTTTGATTTTTCTGAATATTTCCTTAACCTTTGTTTGATTCCCATTTCTTATGGTTTTATTTCATTTTTTTTTATTTTTTGGTGGTAAATTATGTTTCGGTGAATTCTGAATACCCGTTTTTACCGTATTTGATTTCGTGATGGAATTGCAATCTCTCATGCTCAACAATTGTGAGTACTGTAAATAAATGTGCTCAAGCAAAATGTGCTACAAATTCCTTTTTACTGTTTTTGTTTATCTTGTTGTTTTTAGGGATTTTTGATTTAGGGTTTAGACAGAGATAATTATTCGATCCTTTTGTTAATTCATCTTCTGGAATATGTTAGATTTTTGAATGTTAATGTGTATTGTCTACAGAGTAGTGTTCTTTAGATGAATTACAGTAAGGTTATTGGAATTCGGAACTAAATCGTAAATCATGTATATTTCTAACTCGACTTAATTCGTACAGATTTCGCTTGTGGCTGTAACAAACGGAGCTTGCAAATGGGAAGCCAGAGGAATTCCGGGAAGCAAAAAATCAACCAAGTAAAAGCCAGTTGGACGCCCGAGAATCATGAATTGTTCATCGACTTGTGCCTCGAGCAGATATCGATAGGAAATAAACCAGGCACACATTTAACTAAAAATGGCTGGAATAATCTTTTGGGTTCGTTTCACTCGATAACAGGTATAAAATACGAAAGGATTCAGCTGAAGAATCACTGGGATATGACCAAGAAAAACTGGAAAATCTGGCACGATCTCGTTTCCACCGAATGGCTTAAATGGGATCCAGTCGAACGAAGCTTTGGAGCCACTGAACAAGAATGGGATCAATATATACGAGTGCGTACATCTCTTTTTTTTTTTGTTAATAATAATGGTATAATACTATAAGTTCGGGACTATTTTTTTTAATGGTTTTAATTACAGGAAAATCCAGACGCTGCACAGTTTCGATCGAAGGAGCTCCTGTTTGCAGACAAGCTGGACATTGTGTTCGGCGGGGCTGAAGATTATGGGGTGAGAAAAAGACGAAATTGTGGTGCGAGAAAGATCAGTTGTTATACGAGAGCAGAGCCTATTAGTGTTGTTAGGAAGCATAATAATTACCCGGGAAATAATACATATATGCATGTGGAAGAAGAGCCAATGGTTGGGAATGGTAACGATGCAGTAGAATCAAGAAGCGGTGTTACGGTGCAATCTCCACCGCACAAATTGAGCTACAGCATTGAAGAATGCATCAAGGGCCTGGATTCGATCGAAGAACTGGAGCAAGGATGCGAGCTCTATTTATTTGGGTTGGATATATTTCTGAAGAAGGAGTATAGGGAAATTTTCCTTAACTTGAAGAAGTCGAGCACGAGGATTGCATGGTTAGAAAGGCTGCAATCGAGTAACTCTTTGCCGTTGAATTAGTGACTCCTTTCGTAAGGGAATAGTTAATTAGTGTATCTGCTCTTTTTGTACAATATGCGAAAGCAAGTAGCAACTAGTCGTTTGTTCTGCTCGACATTTAATATGCTTGTTTTCTCGATCGATGAAAGTAAATTATCTGCTGAACGGTGGTGGTTATTATGGAGATTTCCGTGCTAGCGTGCACTCCCGTTGGTATATTTTCTTGCAAGCTACCGAGTTGAGCTCGAACGGGCTTTGGTCGAGTCGAATAAAATAGTGTTAGGCTAATTTGATCGTTACGTAAGTATTTTATTATTTTCTTTCAGCCAAGCTTGATCTCGAGCTGAAGCACGTGCCTTATCAAACAAAAATATGTATTCAAACTTGATTCGTTAGTAATTCGTAAATCGTAACAAACCATAGATTGGAAGATATCTATGTTTTTATTGAAAATTACAAATCAAATTGAATATTTTTTTTCTAAATTTATAATTTGTAAATCGTAATAAACTATAAATCGTAAGAATTCTATATTTTTGTTGAAAATTGCCAGTAGTATAAATATATTTACATATTTTTTGCTGGACTTATAAATTGTAAGAATTCAACATTTTTATCAAAAATTGCTAGTGACATGATAATGTTTGAAAGAAGTTATATTTAATATTGAGATATACAAGGAGAAAGAGTTGTGAGATAAATTATCTTTGTCGTTTGAGCTAAAAGTGTAAAGATTTTTATGTATTGTTTCGAGAGAATTACATTCATGGACAAATTTCGCATTAAATTTACTACTTTTAGACACATTCGGTCCACTATCTGAGTTGACCGTTTATATCTAGGGTCCATTAGATATAACCCCTGAGAATTTCAAAAAATATGGATAAATCAAATCTTATATTTTTCATTTGAGAGAAACCCACATTTTTTATAATACCAAAAAATGTCCTGAATAAAATTCCATAAATCATGTTACATTACCTTTTGAAAATTAGAAGAAATCACTCCCTATAATATCGTCAAAACAACAACTACCCATTAAACCACTACCCCATTCTACAGACGGCAACAGAGATCCAGAAATCCTCTCTAAACCAGATGCCGAAATCCAGCAATCACATCCCGTGGGACGACGGCGCAACCGACTTCACCGGACCATCACACCACCGTAGAAGGAACGCCTGGTTAATTAATCGACTAATGGAGTGTATTCGTTCATAACCCCCAAAAAAATCCACTGACAGGGGTTTATTTCGCTGCGTCGCTGTTGGAAATCCTTCGCCAGCAAACAACAACTCACCTATTGGATAATAAATGAATAATAGTCTATTAAAATATGAATGATAGTCTATTAATATATGAATGATAGTCTATTAATCGCTTGGTAGTACATTAATATATGAATGATGGAGTCTCAATGTCTGTGCGTTATTATTAGTTTAGTAGTATGTTAATATATGCATGATAGTCGGTTAATTGAGTTAATAAATGCACGATTGTCGATCAAATGCATGGTATTACATTAAATATCTAATAGTTTGTTAATGTCTACTGCTTATTATTGAATAGTCTGTTAATAAATGTATGGTAGTACAGTAATATATGTATGATAGTCTATTAATCGCATGGTAGTACAATAATATATGAATGATAGTCTACTAATTCGACTACGTGAATTGAAATCTACTATCATGTGATATTAAATCGACTCTGGTATATCACATTGGACAAAAAAACATCACCATTGCTGAACCTAAATTCGGGACTAACATCGCTTATGACCAACAACATAGGATCTTACGAACAAAAACTGTAACACAAACACACATCCAAATTCAATAATCCATGGGAACGAAATCATCAAACTACGAGAAAGAATACATAAAAAATTTACGAGATAAAAAAAACAACAAAAACAGAACCACGCAAGAATACTCACATCTAACAATATATGTACGAGAAATCAGACCAAGTTTGATGGAAAACGATGAAAAAATTCTTCAAAGCCGATGGAAAACGATGAAACGATGGAGAAATTCTTCAAAGCCGATTGTACACGATTTGATAATAACGAAACCGCCAATATAATCACCTAATTGATTCTGTGATTTTAGGCAACGTATCAGCAATCTCATATCACGTAGTTAAGGAAATAAATGCCGTTCAAAAATAAAACAGGGGTATTAAAGGGAAATTAAATAATATATTGTGTCAAGTTGGCATATTTGAATGTATCTCAAAAAGGGAAAAATCAAATGGATCTACCTCATTTAGAAAATCTCAACACGGAGGTTATCCCTAATAAATCCTTATATCTAACGTGAAACTGACTTTTTTAGGCTAAAATTACTATTTAGAAGTATTTTGGAAATATGGTTTTTAACAATTATTTTTATTTTTATTATATGTTTTAATTAGAAAAAAACGAAAAGAGGTTTTATATTTTAGTTAAATTATCATATAATATTTGTAGACATATATAGTTTAAAATTTTGTGATATATTATATAATATTTTTGTGGAAAAAATTACTCTAATCCTCTAAACACACTTGTTTCATGATTTGAAATTCGAAATTCTAACTTCACCCAAATTTCATCAATAGACCATCTTTTTTACCATGACCGCCGCCGACCATTGATGTCGAACATCGGTGTGCTGTCAACATTTTCAAACTTTTTTCTCCCATAGGAAATTTTGTTGGGTTGGCCGGTCGATACAACAACATCAATTTTTTTCGGACAATATTGCTTTGTTGACCAATGTTAATTTATATGCCTATAAAAATCAATTAACCTAATTTGTAATTATCGAGACAGTATTATGTTACAATTATAATTCTTGTGTAAACACAGTTATATCAACTGAAAGCAGATAAATGAACACAAGAAATTAATGTGGTTCAGACATAAATGTGCCCTATATTCAGGTGAATTTGAAAACATGATTTCACTAGTTCAAATTTACAGTGTACATTAATAGGACTTATTAAAAACAATTAAGGTTTCGTTTGATAAGATTAAACACTGAATGCTGAATGCTGAATACACAACTAAACTGTTAAGAGTATTGTCTGAATGCTGAATACTGAATGTATAAGTTTGTTTGGTAACTTCAATGCCCATCATAACTGAATGATGTAATTTTACTATATTAACCCTCATAATTTCTAACAAATAAAATTAACTACTAACTAAATTGTAATGAAAAAATACTAAAAAAACCATGACACTCTTAAATATTAGTTTATTATACTCTTTTAATGAAAATAAGGCCAGGTTTGATAGAATTAAGCGATGAATACTAAATGTTGAATACATATCTGATTGATTAAGAAAAATGTATGAACACCAAATGTTGAACAATTAAATTTGTTTGTTAACTCAGAACTTATTACATCTAAATCGTGTGATTTACTATATTGTCCTTAAGAAAGTTTGATTGGCACAATTCTAAGTTTCTAGCCATGGAAATGAATAAAAATATCAAAGTTCATTTTTTTTCTTCTAAACCCCAATATAAAAACATCCTCACATCCATCTATCTATTATAAAAAAATATCGGTATATCACTTCTATCCCAAACAAACGAACCCAATTGTGTTCCACTTTCAATAAATGTGGCATATTACATAGATAGTTGAACCCCCACTATATAATTTAATATAAAATTGGTTGATATACTCAAATTACCATGGGACATATTTGTCTTAAATACATTCAGTTGTACTGCTGAATGAATAAGCTCAATTGTTGGAACTAGTAAGTGAATATCAGCTCCGTTCAGAGTTCCATGCCAAATGCGCTGAATTGTGAAACATCTGACCGAGTAAGAGATGGCTTCTGTTAAGAGGCCATTAAGAGCTCATTAAGCACTGTCAAACAAGGCCTAAGACTCTCTCTTAATTCTTATGTCGTTCTTGTACACAACTCAAACTTCGTGTCTCTTTCCACAGTAGCTCCACCCCGGATGCCTTGAACTCCCTTCAAGCGTGAACTCCCTTTAAAAACGCGGTTGATCTTCCTTGAGATCTATACAACATATCTGTATATGTTGGCACATGCAACAATGACACAGTTCTGTCTTTCCAACAGCTCCACCCCGGGTGCCTTGAACTCCCTTCAAGCGTGAACTCCCTTTAAAAACGCGATTGATATTCCTCGAGATCTATACAACATATCTGTATATGTTGGCATATGCAACAATGACATAGTTCTGCCCCACAGAACGTCTTAGCAATTTTTCAATACTATGAAGTGATTTTTTTTCCAAAAAAATGCGCACGGTTCTTTAGTGTCTTGGAGGCTTATAGCCACGAAAATAACCTAAGACCTAACTTGAACCTAAAGATTGTCTGCAAGTCATCAAAGCACTTCGTGATGGAAATAGTGTGACTGAATCTTTCGGAGCTATTGTGGAAGATTGCCGAAGAATAGCTCAAGATTTTCATTGTTGTTTGGTTCGTTTTGTAAAGCATTCGGATAATTGTTTAGCCAACGGTATTGCTAAACTGTCCTGTAATATTGTGCTAGAGGGTTTAACTCTTCGTTCTGATTTGGCACATATCATCTAAATAATAAGTGTTCTCTTAAAAAAAAAACATCATGAATCAAAAGTACAATTTGGGGTAAATTACAAACACCCCCCTGAGGTATGACCAAATTACAAAAATACCCTCTTGTTTGGATAATTACAACCACCCCCTCAACTCATCAAATTTAGTAGAATCTTCGAGATTATATGGAACATTATCACTTTTGTACCCGTTTTATCCCATTCAAACTCTACATTATGAAACAAGATGACCATAATATGTGATTTTTAGCTTGTATATATCAGTTTGTGGTGCATCAGAAACTGTATTTTTTACACAAAGAGTACAAACTAGAGCACATTTCACGGAATCTAGATGACTATGTTGAATTTGGCACCATAAAAGGTAAGAAAAAATCATAGTTGAGGGGGGTAAATGTAATTATCCAAACAAGAGGGATTTTTTTGTAATTTGACCATACCTCAGGGGGTGTTTGTAATTTACCCTACAATTTGAAATGTAAGGAACGAAAAATGTAATTGTGCTTATTTTGTCCTAAATTTTTCTTATTTAATTTTAACATAAAAAAGTAATTAAGTTTTGAATCGTCAAAAATTCAATGAATTGTGAAAAAAACAATCCAATCATGTAAAAGTTGAAAAATCGAATCGAATCTTAACCTGAAAATCATAATACTTAACCGAGAATTGTGTAGTGGACCAATCTAATCCTACTATTTAATTGGATTGGATCACATTAAAATCAATTTTATCTTGATTTCTCAAATCAAATTTGTAAGAATAAGAATCACGAATTTGAGAAAAAAAAAAGAAAAGAAAGAAAGAAAGTAAATTATAAGAGAAAAAATTACGTTTTAGCCCTTCCCTTTCCCCATAAATTCTTGTAATTTGCTCTTTTCCCCACCAACTCATTTTTTCTTCTTTTTTCACCCCCAAAACTATTTACTCAATCTGGCAAATTTTCCTTTTTGTTCACCGAATTCGACTGTGCTTGAAAAGCAGCATCAACACTTTCACCACCGTCAAAAATCAAAACCCTCCCCCCTCTTCAAATCATCCTCTTCATCAACAAAATTGAACCATTGTTCTCGTTTTCACCTTCAATCCTCAAAATAATATTTTTCCGCCATTAATGAAGTAGGATCAACTTCTCTCAGTTCTAATATATATCGTAACTGATAATAGTAAATTAGCTAAAGTTGTGCAAAAAAGAGGGCTGAAGATTTTGTCTGAGAATCATCGGCTGACACTCAAACGAAATCAATTGCTATCCAGGTACCTTCCATTCTTCTTTCTCTTCTTTTTGCTCTAAGTTAATATATCGACTATCTTTTGTTAACTCTATTTCGATGGGATTGCCCTCATTCTAAAGTAAGTGGCAGAATTAGAATTTTGTATGCACGTTGTTGTTTTCTTTTCCTATGCACATTTCTTAGATTTGCTGTTTGAATGCACTTTTTTTGGGATTTATTCCAATTGTTGATTCAATGATGATGATTTGTATAGGGAAGTAAAATTTAGTGAGAGATAAAAGAGTGAGTAAGTTACCGTAAATTCTATAGTTGCTTTATTGTAGAAGAATTGTTGTGCCACGTTGATTGCATTTTCCGGATAATTGGACTATTCTCTCAATCAATGTACAACAATTATGGAGCAGGGGATTTTCGAAATGTTCTCGAGTGGTACGTGCATGGGTATTTTTCTTTTTCTGGCTGTAATCCAGTCGATTAATGGTTTTTAAATTTGATGTAATCATTGATGGCTTATGTGGATTGTTCTTGTTCTCGATTTGGTCTTGTAGAATTATTGAAAGTAGAAAGGATCTTTGAAATGGCATGAGTTTTATGATTAACATGTTATTGCAGCCAATGAATGATTTATAAATGTGATTGTTGTCATTTTTCCAGTAGTATTTGTAGAATGTCTGAAATGCCCTTGAGTAATACTACGTAGGTGTTATGTCGATGGATGTAGTTGCTGTCAATTAATAGTTTACATGTAATGTAGCCATTAATGGGCTTATATGTGACCGTTGTCGTTTCCCTTGGTGTTGTAGAATCATCGAAAATAGAAAGAATCTTCGAAACGTGGTTTCTTTTTTTGGTTAAGATCAATATTTGATTTGTAGCCTATTAATGATTTATAGATGCGATTCTTGTCATTTTCCAGTAAATTTTGCATGAATTCTGAACTAAAAGTTTTTCTTCTAACTGTGGTAAAAAAGTTTTTCTTTGGTCTTTGTTACTGTGGGAGACTTTTTATGTTTGTTTGACATTTACTGTTGTCAATTGTTTTATTAGTGTCTAAAAAATTATGTAAATGTGTTCATGACATAATTGTCGCATCCGATTCGGTGATGGTTAAGATATCCAGTTTGGACAACATAACATTATGTAGAATCTTGATTTGGCACCAGTAATACACCAATCTTCGTATTTATAACAACATAACATATTATAAAGCTTGATCCGACACTAGCAATTATAATAAAAGTTACGTCAGAGGATATTTAAATTAGGAAATGTCCAGTTTTATCCATGCACGTTCCCGTAAAATACATTACCTAAGATATTCCGACTACCCATCCAACACTAAATGTGGTAATTACAATTTGCATCTAAAAAAAACTTATAATAACCGTGGTTGCAACCTGAATGGAATTCATCACAAAAGCAAAAATGAAATAAGCTTAACATTCATTGAGTTTGCCACACAGACCACCTTTTCCTTTTCTCTATTGGCCACCGTGGGTGTGGCTTAAAATGGAACCGTTTTTTGTGTTAAAGATTACTTTATTTATTATTCTTGAGTACTATATTTATCATCTTTTGCATGGATATAATATATCTGACAAAATTTTGAAATAAAAAAGTAAATTTCTTAAAACACAACCACATAGTAAGAAATTTTAATTTTTTTTTTCTAATATGTCAGGTTTTTGTACTTGTATTATTACAGTTGATGGAGTTTATTCTTCCGCAGATATTCTGGTCAATTACTAGAATTATGACATTTCATTTGGAACATTGTTTTTTTTAGTGCAATAGTGAGATCATAGTTTAAAATTTACCAAATGATTTAAGTTTATGTAGTCATTATCGAGCTTCCACCTGAGAGCACAAATCTAGCTCACAGTTCTTGGTAGATGTATTCGTAAATTTCTGAGATTATAAGGTTCATTCTGGTCCTACACTATAAAACTTTAAACACTACTATGCAAATTTGTTTGCCTGAGAATGTACACATATATTAAAAGACAACTTCTCTATTTGGCACCTTTCTTCTTTGTTTTTTGGTTTCCTCCTCACCCTTTTCTCTCCGTCTCTCAACTTGTATTTTATTTCTCAAAGGTTTCACACCAAACGTTCAAATCAAACTTCACCCCCTGAAAGAACCGTCAATAACAATTCTTAACTAATAATGGTTGAGAGATCAAGGAAGCCAAAGAAAGGCTCCATCGATGAAGAAGACATGTCCATTCTCTTAGAAAGGTAATGTTATTTTCCCTATTAAATATTGGAACGTAAGCGACAAAATTAGAGAAAATTCCTTTACGGTTGTTCCTTTTTTTTTTCTTCCCTTAAGGTACTCTGTGAAGACAGTGCTGACATTACTGCAAGAGGTGGAGAAAGTTGCTGGAGAGAAAATTGATTGGAATGCAATTGTGAAAAACACTACTACCGGAATTTCCAGTGCAAGGGAGTGTCAAATGCTTTGGCGCCATCTTGCATATGGGCAAAACCTAACAGATCAATTTGACAATGCTACAAACCCTATGGTATGCGTACCTTTTCAGATTCTTATTTAGGTCTGTCTGCTGTATATATTTTAACGCTCGTCAACTCATAGCCAGTCTTACTAATAATTTTGGATACTAAGGCAATTTTACATGCCTTCGTTAGAATTTCGTGAATTTAGTCTCTCTAGTAGGCTTGTTAATTTGATTGTTGGTCAATATTTCTGATGTTTATTTTCTGCTTTCGGTTGTAGGATGATGATAGTGACTTAGAATATGAGGTAGAGGCTTTTCCTGCTGTCAACAGGGAAACTTCAATGGAGGCTGTGGCATGTGTTAAAGTAAGTATGTGATTTATTCATCAGAATCGTTGCCACGATTCTTGTTCTAAAAATTTAGTAAGCTAAATATTGTTAAATAGTGTATTTTGTACTCACTAGAAAGAGGAAACTATTGTAGAATGGAGTATAAAACATGAACTATTTATCCCCAGATATATAAACATTTACCAGATGCGACATAGACGCATACATATGTTCCTTTTCCCCCATTTCACTCTGTCAGCTGAAATATTCGAGTCTTTATAATTACCTCATTCCTTATCATTTAAAGACATCCAAATCAATTCTTTGGCTATTCCGAGGGGTATCACTTGAGCCACTTTATAGATACTTATTCATAGATCACCCTATCTTGTTTTACCTCTAATGCATCTCAGACAGTGTATGCAATCCTTCTAAATATTAACTGCTTATCATGGAGATCAGATAAAAGTTACCCAATTATGCCAGATTCTGATTCTACTCCGTGCACCCAGATAGATTATGAGATTGTTGGGCTTTTGTGCAGTGTAATGATCTGATTCGCCGGTTTAGATAATCTGATTATAGTCTTACAAAGCTTTAATATTGTGTTGATTGGGGCATAATTGTGGCTAATAGTGTTTATAGGTGGTCACGTTGGTAGAAATTTTTAATGATACAAGATGTGTGTATGAGAACCCTCGATCTAGTTGAATACTTATTCTAAGAGTATTAAAGGAAATTAAGAGGTAGTTAATTTCCAATATGGTGTTTACTGAATTTGAAAAAAGTTACATTGCTGTCTTAATTTGAAACCTGTAAAATGCAGAAGAGTGTGTGCTAATGAACGATAATGTCGGTGTGGTTGAATTATTTATTATTCGTCTTTAGGTCCTCAGTAATGTTTCTTGGTTGTACTGTTTGTCAAACTTCCTTGTTGGTTGTGGCGCAATTAGTTTGTCTCCAATTACTAGCGTTATGGTTTGTTTTGTTTAATCTGTTTTGTGGGAATTTATATGAGGGTATAACATATTGGAAACGTGATGAATATTTGGTTATATTGTGGCAGAATAAATTGAGAATGAAAAGGTTGTAAGAGTTTAATATTAAATATAGGATTTCCTGAGTTCACCTGTTTTTTAATTTGAAAATCTCTAGAGCTAAGTCACCTATTTTTTTTAAATATACTGAATAAATGTACGTGTCATCAGGTATGCTGATTTTCATACTTCCTGTTCATAGAATCATTCTGTAATTAATATGGTGTATGTTTAGTAACTAATCTGCCAAGTATGTTTTTGTTTTTCTTTGATTGGCTTGCTAGTGCTAATTTCCATTTGTGTCTAACGAAGGAGCTTTTATTTTTTGTAGGTATTAATTGCTTCTGATTATCCAATAGATTCACATCCCCCAAACAATTTGACTATTGAAGCACCGATGACTATTAACGTGCCGAAGTTGAAGGCATTCACCTCGGCTTCAGATAATTCAGTTATTGCTAGAGCTATACAGGGGACAAATATTAGCATTCCTGTTTCTGTGCAAAAGCAGCCAGTGTCTTCTGGGACATGTGGCGAGAAAAGGCCGCCTAACAATGCGACATCTGGAATAACTTTTCCGCCCCGAAGAAGAAGAAGGGGTTGGTCCACAGAAGACGACATGAAACTCACTGCTGCAGTTAAAAAATACGGAGAACGAAATTGGGCTAATATTGCAAGGGGAGATTTCAAGAATGACAGAAAAGCATCAGAGCTATCTCAGGTACTAAATTCATGTTTCATGGTTTATAACACTTTTACGTTTAGTAGTTTGAGGAGGTTCGTCTTTTGTTAGCATGCTAGTTTTAATATGTATCCTATTTGTATTTCTTTCCCCTTTAGAATTAAGTACAAAAATAACTATAGTTATCATATGCGTTGCTATTAGAAATTCTTAAGTTTTGGGAATTAAACGGGAAAAGGGATCAAGTTCAGGTTCGACTTTGGAATGAGGGTTTGCTTTGATTTACCCGAAGAGAGCTTGAAAGCTAGTTTCACTGATCTGGGGGTGAATAGATAGAATACGAATCGGAATTCCATTAGTGAGGTAAAGCTTGCTTTTAGGTAAGGGCAAATTCGAATATCATAGTGAATAAGGCATATAACAAGGATATCCTTGATTGACCGTTGAGCCACCGTGGAGTATTAATGCCATAAACGTGCCGCAAGACTATATTTCGACTAACTTTGATTATACTCGTTGTCTGGCATTGTCAGAGAAGTGGTTATCGTTTCTGTAACTGATTAGGTTTCCTTGGTTCGGTACAGTCATTTGTATTCATATGAAGAATTTTTATTCAATTTAACTGAATGCAATCAACATGCACAGAGGTGGGGAACTTTGAGGAAAAAGCAGAGCGATTCAAATGTGGGAACCAGTTCGAAACATTCTGAATCTCAATTGGCTGCTGCTCATCGGGCCATTACCCTAGCCCTAAATACACCAATGGGCGACAATTTCCATGCAAATCGTAATATGAGTACTGGTAAATCTCTCCACTTCTTCTATACTACTCGACTTTTGATGATTATTATTGATTTATATATAACTATTTTATGGCGAAATGTACCTACAGTCATGGTTATTCCTATCGAGCTTTTGAACAAATTTACCTCTATTTAAACCTCGGTTTGGTTAAAAAAAAAGAACCCCTTTATCTGGATCCTGGCAATAATTGAGCTTCCCCGTAGGGTCTCCCTCGTAAAAAAATTGGGTGGAAAGTATTGTCTTGGGATCGTTTACTTGACACTAAATCGTCTCATCTTGCACATATATATAATTATTTAATTGCGTGCACTTTTTTTTATTTAATTTCCTTGTACTTATTCTGATCTTTATTTTTGAACTATCATCAGGTGGCATAAAATCCCAGCAACAATTTCAAAAGGCTTTAAATCCACAATTCGGAGTGGCTGGCCCTCCAAAAACTCAGGTTCCCACCATAACAAAGCCGAATACTATTATCCCAGATTCAAAGATCAAAGCTGCTGCAGTTGCTGCGGGGGCCCGCATTGCCACATCAGCAGATGCCTCCTCACTAATCGAGGCGGCGGCACGCTCTCAGAACGTGGTCCACATCACCACCGGAGGTGGAGGCACTTCGATGATGAAATCCTCCTCAACTACAAGCATGTTGACCACCACAAGTCAACTCCCTAGTAATGTGCATTTTATGCGCACTGCTCAGAAGAAGGCAGCACCGATTCCGATTCCACCCCATTCCGCCACTCTACCACCAAACAGGCGGCCCGGTGTCGAAGCTCAACCACCACAAGGTAACTCGGCGAAACCTGCTGAGCTGGCGACTGTTGTTGAGCCTCCATCTGGTTTGCCGAATGCTGCAGCTACTCCTCCGTCTGTTGAAGTTGCTGTGGTTTCTAAGTCGGTAAATGAGACGAAAGAGATTGTCCAAAAGGCTGTTGACCTATCGGCTCCATTGGTCGACCAATCAAAAGAGGGAGTTGATAAACACCAAACTTCAGCTTCAGGTAATGAATGTATGTTGAGAAAGAATTTGTATTTGTTTAAAAGCTTTGGTTGAATGTTGAGTTAGTTATAAAATGATGTGTTTGTGGTGTGCTAGGTGAAAAGAGTGCCGATAACCTATGCACAAGCAAACAAGCAAACGGTGAAGCAACGACAAGTATCACAGAAGCCGCAGTTGGTGATGCGGAGAACAAATAAAGCTATGTATGAAAGTTCGTAACGTACGTGTTGGCTTCCTTCACTGTGGATGGACGTAGAAAATATTTCTAAATTGGTTATATTATATTATTTATACATTTTCCCAAATGATAAGCATTGTGAATTCAGGTTTGAAGGCAATGTATCTTGTTGTGTTCTACATGTAACTGTTTTACAAAAGTAGCAGGAGTTTTATCTTATACTATTACAAATAGGAAAGTATTTATGAACTATGAACCGTGTAATCGTTTAGTTGAAAAGAATGTTGCTAGACACCCATTTTATGTTTTATTTTTGAAAATTCTTGTAGCTCTAGTTAAATGATTCGTGTAATTTCTTCTAAATTACGGCCAACTTCCTGAAGTTAAATTACGAAAAACCCCCTTCAACTATGTATTCGATCATTCAGTTGGTAAATTTGATCTTGTAAGTGTGAACGTATAAGACAATGCATAGTTGAGAGAATGGTTGCAATTATACAAAAATGAGGGGTTTTTTGGTAATTTGACCTTACCTTAAGGGGGCAACTATTTTAAATTCCAACTTTTGCTTAGTTGAATACT